TGGTCTCGCTCCACCGGCCTTTCTGGGAGCCTCAGTTTCTCGAATCCTCCCGGTCCCTCGCTCGACTCTGGCTTCTCCGTTTCAAACTTGGCCCCCTCCCCCGCTCAAATCTCGGAGTAGCCCCCGCCCCTCCGGGCGGCCAGGATCGGTGCGATCCGGGGGGCGCCCTTCGGGGCTCAGTGCACCCCGCGCCGCCCGCTCCCAGCGCGCCCCCGGTCATCGCGGCCGGACCCGAGTGGGGAGCAGGGGGCACCGGCCGGGGCCGGGAGCCGGGATTCGGAGCCGGGTTCGGCGGGGAGCTCACCTCGAAGCGGGCGGCGGGAGCGGGGAAGCCGGGCCGCGCGTCCCTCGGCGGCTTGTACCTGCGGGCCGGGCAGAGCGGGGGCCGAGCGAGCTCCGCAAGGCTGCCGGCTGCACACGGACTGTGTGGGCGAGTGGGAGCGCGGCCCCAACCCCTCCCCGAGGAAGTGCGCGCGGGGCCCGCCCCGCCCGGACCCCGCCCCCGGCCGCCCCTGCCCGCGGGGTGCGGACCCCGCCCCGGCCCCGCATCCCGCAGGCGGGGGGCCAGACCCCGCCCACACCTCCTCCGTGGGCTGGAGCCCGCTCCAGGCCCCCTCGGCCGGCGCAGTCTAACCCGGCTCTCTCAACCTTACCGGGCGGCCAGGACCCCCCCCCCCCCCCCCCCCCCCTTTCCCGGCCCCCCCCCCCCCCCCCCCCCCCCCCCCCAACTCCCACCGGCAGCCAGCGGGAGACTGCTGTACTCCATCTCAAGCGAGGGGTACAGAACCCAGCCAACCAAGGTCCCTTGGGGGACCAAGAGTCCTCATGGCCTTTTCGTGTCTCTCCCCCCCGCTTCCAGCTTACCCCCCGGGGTCACACCTAGACCGAGTTTGTAAAAGAGGACTTAATCAAGCCTGGAGGAGGGGGTGGTTTAGATTCTGCTGTCCCGGCCCTGTCAGTGGGAACCAAGCTTGGTGTTCTCTGGAAACAAGGACCCCCAACCCCGGACAGGGCCTTGACCTTCAAAGGGCTTGATTTCACAACTCTGAGTGGCAAAAACAGAAGTAATCACCTCCTCACCTCCAGCTGCACCCTGGGACAGAGAAGTTCGGCCTTGGTTTCCACAGTGCCCAGGAATAGTTTTGACCTTTGAAGCCCAGGGGAGACCCTAATCCTTGGCCCCATGGTTTTTTGAGTTTCTCAGGGAGGGGTGTGAAGAGTGTGCTCGGATCGGCACTACAGGGTTGGTGGAGGGAAGTGGAGGGAACCCCTCCTCCCCCACCTCTACAGTTTCCAATCCTCTGGCTTCCTCCCTGTGCCTGGGAGGGAGGACTGGCGCCTGCCAGGGACACAAGGCCCCTCCAGGTCCTTGAGGCCAACCCCCCTGGGATCCTCAGGCTTGTCACTGGGCATAAATAGCCTCGATCTAGAAGGGTGGGGGAGGGAGGAGGAGGCTCTGCTGTGCTGTTTGCAAAACAAGAGACAACAGACCAACCCTAGAAATAACCTCAGCCATCTAGAGTAGAGATTCAGGTGCCCACAGAGGTTCTCCCATCCCCCAGGCTGGGTCCAGCCAAGTTCTCAGAGCAGAGACTCATTCCCTCCCAGGCTGGGGTTCCTGAATACCTTCCTCTCCCATCTCTGAATCATATGCCTGCCCTCCTGGGTCCCAACTCACCCTCGAGGCCAGGTTTCCTTCCAAAATCAAACTAATTGATTTATGATTGTTCCTTATGCCTAGATTGTAAGTGCCATGAGGACAGGGACTGGGTACTTCTTGTTCACTACCACATTCCCAGTACCTACTCCAAAGTCTGGCACATAATAAATATCTGATGAATGAATGACAATGACAGACATTGCTTCAGTTTCAACTCCCCTCTACCCCAGTTTGGATCACAGATACTTGCCCACGGATGGGCCCTTTCTCTGGGCTTTGTCTTGTAGGTGTAGGCGACTCCTAGCCCTGGAGAGGGCAGGGAAGATTGCCTGGTTGGAGTAGATGACAAGGAGGGTCTGTTCTGGGTGAGGGGAGGGCAAAGATGAGCAGCTTTCAGAGAGGGAGGGATTATGACTGAATAAGGAAGGTCCTAGATCAAAGGTAGAGTTGGGGTCTCTGGTATTTCCTCATGGCTTGAACCTCTGCTGAACAGCCTTAATAAGAGCCAGGATTTCCTGAGTTTTTTTTTTTTTTTTTAAAGATTTTATTTATTTATTTCACAGAGAGAGATAGCGAGAGCAGGAACACAAGCAGGGGGAGTGGGAGAGGAAGAAACAGGCCTCCTGCTGAGCAGGGAGCCCGACACGGGGCTCGATCCCAGGACCCTGGGATCATGACCTGAGCCAAAGGCAGAGGCTCAATGACTGAGCCACCCAGGCGCCCCAATTTCCTGAGTTCTTTGCACCAGTCCCTGCCTAAGCACTTTGCATATAACACTTCGCAGAATTAATGTTCTTGATTATCCGACAACGGTATGAAATGTGTATTCTTACCCCATTTTAAAGATGAGAAAATGGAGGTACAGAGAAAGTAAGTAACCTGCCAAGGGCGACACACCTAATAATGGCAAAGGCTGGATTCAAATCCATACAATCAAATGTCAAAACTCCTTATGCCAAAAAGGGCTTAACTGGCAGGCCCTGCAGCCTCTTTTGTCACTCAACCTCTTTACACCTCAGTCTGCTCATCCGTTAGGAGTGCTTGACTCCCTGTCTCCCAGCATTCTCATGAGTATTGGAGGAGAGTACACAGTAGGTATTGAGTATGTGGGACTCGCCTGGTGCAACACATTCCCTTTCACGGTCAAGTGTTAAGGTTCTGCTGCTTGGACTGGAAGTCTGGAGGCCAGAGAAAATTAGATTTCTGGTTTGACCCAGGCTGGGGGAGGGACACTGGTGTAGGGCAGGGGCTATGTCCTTTCCCCTCTCCATTTCCAGCTCCCCAGTGGGCTCACATTTCCCTTGGCCTAGGAGGACTACGTGCCCCAGGGACGTGTAGGGATCAGCCACATGGACTCCCTGTTCCCATTTCCCATCAGTCCTCCCTCCCTCTCTAGGGAACAGGTGTGTCTGAGCGGGGACTGGAAGAAGAGCCTGATCGCTGGATGACTAGCCTTGGGTGAGTGGGATCTGGTTGTCCCTTCGCCCACCCAGGAGGCCCCCACACACCCTTCCTTATCTCGTGGTGGAAGGGGGCTTGCTCTGGGTCTCCTGGCTGTTCTCTCATCTTGGACGCATTTTTTAAAAGGAGGCCCTGAGTGACAACTGACAGGCCTCTCACGGTTTCCTCTGGGTGCTGAATCACTCCTTGATTCTTGTGATCACAAGCCCTCCTTTCCCCAGTGAGAAAACTTCCTTCCTTCTCTGGGCATATTGCCCACTCTTACCCACTGGGCTGCCTGGAGCCCCTGCCAGGCCTCATGGCTTGCAGACACCCTCTTTCAGATTGCCCAGAAACACTATTCTCCTGACCCCAAGCCTCTGTGGGTGTAGAGGGTGAGGTGAGTGACTTCTACAGAGTATGCAGGGTTGGGAGGGTGAAGCAGGAAAGTTAAATGCCCACTACATGCAGGGCACCATGCTAAGTGCTAGTCATTGCCTCCTTCGGTTCTCACAAAAGCCATATGGGTTGGTTATATTATTATCACTATTTGATAGAGTAGGATGTGGGGCTCAGAGAATTTGACAATGTGGCCCCAAATCCAAGCTGATAGTGGTGAATGTGCAATTCAAATCCAAGGCTGATTCCTGGGTCCCCTTAACCGAGCTGAGGCTGGAATAGTGGGCCAAATCATGAAGGGCCTTGTCTTTCAATGGTTAAGTCACAAATGAGGTGGAAGTTTGTTCATGTCTGTGACCTGAGTTGGGCAAAAGGCTCAGACTGAGGCAGGAAAAAACTTTTCACATGGCAGATCTCAGCACTTTCAGCTTTGTCATGTCCATCCGTCTACTGGACTCCAGGCATCTCTGGGGACTGAGGAGAGGATTTCCTCAGAGCGCGTCGGCTGGAGCGGTGAGCTCTGTCATGACAAATGGGTGCAATTACAGAACTCGCTGAGGGTTAGCTTCATGTGATGGAAGAGAAACCAAATGCCTCTGAAGTGCCCTGCTGTGCCCAACCCTCTCTCTATCCTTACTGGTAGGTTTAGTAATAACAACAACCATTGCTCCAATTGATTGTGAACTCGTTTAAGGGGTGAACACAGCATTAAGCACTTTAAACATATTAGTTCGTTTAATCATTACAACAATTCCGTGGGTATACTTTAATTACTAACATTTTAGATGGGGAGATCGAGGTTCGTTGAAGCTAATTTTGCCTTGGCTGGTGGCAGTTAGGGTTATAACACACTTCTATGGTTTTTGGTCCTAATTGTTACGTTGTACTGCCTCTGACACTCATTCTGTCAGCCAGCCATTCCCTGAGGGTGTGAGGGACTCAAAAGTTTTTAACTACTGTCGGGATAGAACTCCTCCATTCAACTGTGAACCTCTTGACGGTCCTGTGAAGCAAGCAGAGCACACTATTATCCTTGTTTTATGGACGAGAAAAATGATGCTCATTAAAGTCAAAAGACCTGTCAAAAGTCACACAGCCGGTAAGTGGCAGAGCCAAACATGGTTTTAAGGTCTCCTGTCTGTCTATAGCGTGCTATTTCCGGTACACTGTGAAATTCACACAACTCGTACCTTTAAACGCACCGCGTAAATAGGGTAAGTAGAGCAGAGCGGTAAGTGACTGCGCATGCGCACACTCCAGGCACAGCTCAGCCGGAGGGCAGTGCCAGCCACGTGTTCCCAGATGCCAACGCGAAACCGAGCGCGAAAACGAGATCTCGGTAAACGTGCACAAGTTCTGGCGAATGAGAACTGACTCTTGCAGAGTCACGGGACTAGACCTAGAAAACTACATTTCCCAGAAGCAGCTTGGGGCTGGACGCCTCTGCTGGAGGACGTAGTTCCGGAAAGGCAGGCGCCGGATAGGCTGCGGAGAGGACGTGGGCCGTTCTGAGCATCTGGGGTCCTGGCCTATTTCCGGTAGGGTCGGTGGACGCGGCGGTTGAGGCCGTGCGGGACCGGCGTTGTCTACTGAGCTTTTCCAGGCGTGAGCAGACATGGCGGCGGCTTTTCGGAAGGCGGCTAAATCCCGGCAGCGGGAACACCGAGAGCGAAGCCAGGTAGGACCGCAGAGGCCCCACAAGCGCCGGGCCGTGGCCTCGTGGGCTACCCTCGCTCTCTCCCTCTCTCCACCTGCGGGCCCTGGTCCCTTCTGTACGTCGAGGGGGCATGTAAATATAAGCAAGTGTATCCTAAGGACGCCGGCGTGCCTAGGGCGGAGCCTCGCGGCCTGGCGAGGTGGGGGGTCGTTGTTCTCGCTCTGGAAGGAGCACGGGCTGTCTTGCGAGGTTTCATTGAGGGCATTGGGTGAGACACTGTGTGTAAAGTGCTTGACCTTCTGGGGGGAAGGTGAGGTCAAAGCGCACACCGGCTGGAACTGGAACCCGCATCTGTGGGTGTTCAGCCCTGCCCGCTGCGTAGGGGGGCTGTGCCCGAAGAAATGGGTGATGATAACGTTAACACGGTCAGGCGTGGGCTTTGTGCAAGATCCATGAAGCTCTTCCACATACGCTTTTTGTTTATGTCTCACACTGTAATTTTTTTTTTGCCATCTCCATTATACAGATGAGGAAACTGAGGTCCCGGGTGCTGAAGTGACTTGCCGAGTCACAAACACCAAATTCGGGTGGATAAACAGTTGTAGGACTTCTGTGGAGGGTGTGTCTGTGTTGAGTTTGAATAGAAATTAGTATATGAAGAATCAGTGTATCCATTCCAGTGTGCTTAGAAATTACATCGTGACCCATGCAGAAAGGCCCTTAGGGATATCTGGTGCAACTTCCTTTCACAGTTCGGGAAGAGAGGGAGAACGTGTCCAAAGTTGTGTTGCTGACTGATGGGATGGAACTAAGGCCTCTTGACCCACAGTTCAGTCTTGCTGCCCAGACATTTATTGTGCACTTACTGTGTGCTCCATGGTGTGCTGGGAGCAATAGTGTAATTTGCCACCTTGTTTGAGCCTATTTGTGGACCTGTGTAAAAGTAGTGATAGAAATTGTGGTGAGCCAGAGCCAGATGAAGTGCTGTCAGATTTACTGTCATCTCATTTAACTCTCGACACTGTGTGGACGTAGGTATTAACTATCTTCTCATATTTGCTGGTAGGGAAACTAAGGCTCAGATAGGTTAATTTGCCCAAAGACGTACAGCTGTAGCTGGCAAGCAGCAAAGCCAGGAATCAGGCTGCATGTTTTGAATCCAGGGGCCACTAAAAGATGAATAAAGAGGCACCTTTATAGAGATGGCACATGAAAAATGCCAAATGAAGAATTTGAAGGGGAAGAGTAGAGATGATGAGGGAAAGCATCACGATGGAACTTGCTGGACTTGAAAGGCAATGATAACAGCTTTCTGAGCACTCACAGTGTGCTAGGTACAGCCCAACAGCTGTACAGGATTATGTCATTTAAATCTGTAGTATGTCTGTGAGGTGGATTGTTATCCTTATTTTCTAGATGAGGACTCTGATGCTTAAAGAGATTGAATCATGTGTCCAAAGTCACAGTTGTAGGTAGTTGATTTGGATTAACAGAAGACAGGGCTTCTGCGGCTGGCCATAAGCATGACATGGTCACGTCTGAGTAGAACTAGAGGGTCTTTGTGGGAGACGTGAGGAGAAGGCCATGCTGGCGAGGCGGGTAAACATGTTGACAAGAGCACTCCACGTTTGGGTCAAGTTTGGGCTTTATCCTGTAGATCTGTCACTGAGGTGGTGGGTGAGATACCGAAAATGTTTTGTATGGAGAGGGTAGGTGTACTTAGGTGAGCTATTTCAGATGCAATGCTAGGTCTCCTATAACACAGATCCCTCTGAATTAGTGTTTTTGTATTTTTTGGGTAGATACCCGGTAGTGCGATTCCTGGATCATAGGGTAGTTCCATTTTTAACTTTTTGAGGAACCTCCATACTGTTTTCCATAGTGGCTGCACCAGTTTGCATTCCTAGCAACACTGCAAGAGGGTTCCTTTTTCTCCATATCCTCACCAACACCTGTTTCTTGTGTTTTGTTTGTTGTGTTTTTTTGTTTTGTGTTTAGTTCTGTTATTTTAATTGAGTAATTTATTGCATATTTCAAGGATAAAAAATGTGACTTAATCTCATCTAAATTATTAGACGAGTTTATACGTAGAGAAGTGTATGTACTTCTTCAAAAATTGAGATTATTCAGGGGCACTTGGGTGGCTCAGTCGTTAAGCGTCTGCCTTCGGCTCAGGTCATGGTCCCAGGGTTCTGGGATCGAGCCCCGCATCGGGCTCGCTGCTCCGCGGGAAGCCTGCTTCTCCCTCTCCCACTCCCCCTCTTTGTGTTCCCTCTCTCGCTGTGTCTCTCTCTCTGTCCAATAAATAAATAAAATCTTTAAAAAAAAATTGAGATTATTCAGAGCAGAAGAGGATGCAGTCTTGTGTGGTGGGGAAGAGCACAGACTGTGGCCGCATATGGGACGGGTTCTAGTTCTAGCTTTACCAGTTATTCTGTGTTCTTGGGCAAGCCTCATTCCCCTTTTGGAAAACGGGTAACAGTTGTGTGTTTTATCTACTTCCCTTGTTTGTTGTGGGGATTAAATGAGATTGTATGTAACAAGCATAGCAGATTGCTTTGTAACAGAGTAAGCACTTAATACATGTGGCCTGTTATGTGGGCAGAAACATCTAGCACAGACAGACATGTATTAATTGCTCAACAAATAGCTTGTAGAAAGATAATACCAAGATGTAATCCTTGTGCCTTTCATGCTATCCAAGTTCTGTGTCAGAGAAAGTATTTTGTGTCACACTTGGTTTTTTTCTCTCATACTTCTTACCAAAGGTATAATAGTAACAGTAACGTGCTGGGTACCTGCTTTGTGCCAGGACATGTGCAGGCACTACCACTCACAGACGCACATTTAATCCTCATGAATAACCATGAGAAGCAGGTACAACTATTCTCATTTTATAGTTAGGAAACAGCAGCTCAGAGAAGTTAAGTGACTTGCCCAAGGTCACAGGTTGTTAAGAGGTAAAGCTTGGATTTGAACCCCATTCTCCAGACTAAATTTAGTGCCCTTGCCACATTTGCCTCCCTGTTATTATGTTTTCCCTTCATAGTATTTTATAAACCCTTGGATTAAGTCTGTAGTAATTTTAGTACAGCTGGCAACTGCTTGCTTAGTGCCGAGTCATTGTTGCCTCTCTCTGTCCTTAATAGGCCAGGAAACCTACTATGGCAGTGCTTGTGACCTCTCTGGCGTCTGTATGGTACCTCTCATCCTGGGGCAGAGCCCAGTTGGGGGAGGGGAGGGAACAGGGCAGCACGTTGGCTCCAAGGACATGGATTTACTGAGCACTCCAGGGACTCTTGTTCCTGTCAGGTGTCATGTTGATTTGGGTATGTGTTTGCTGAGGGAACTAAGCACTTTTTTTTTTCCTTTTGTCTTCTAGCCCGGCTTTCGAAAACATCTGGGCCTGTTGGAGAAAAAGAAAGATTACAAACTTCGTGCAGAGTGAGTTCAGTTTCCTGGTAGGGGTGCTGCCAAGAAAGCTGACAGCTTCCCTGCACTGCAGCTGAATTGCCAGTGTCCGACAGGGGATAATTTCTTGCCATTGATAAAATGGCCAGAACTCTGGCACATACTTGTCTGTGACCCTAAACGTCTCTCTCTGTTTGGGCAGAGCGTAATTTATTTAACTGTAGTTGCATTGTGAAATTTTTTTTTTTTTATTACGTTGCTCTAGTTAGTTTTCTCAGAGTGGCTTTGATTTGTTTTTGCCTTGGTGTTTGAGCCAAAAGCTGAATCTTTTTTTCTCTCTTTTCTTGAAATGCAAGATATAATCTAAAATTCCAGTTGTTGAGTCTCTTACATCACTGCGTGTGTCGTTTGGAATGAAGAGATGTGAAAGATGGATTCATAAGACTGAGCGTGGGTGATAATGAACTCTGAAAACATTTTATAAAACAATTACCCCCATTCTTCTTCTTTAGCACTTTATTTGCAGAATACTTTATAACTGTTTGTTAACCGTGCGGTGCTTGTCAGCTGAGGTCCTTTTGTGCTCCTGGTACAGATGGTGATGGATTAAGTGGATTGCTCTGGGTCCCAGAGTTTTTAAGGCTAATAATGATAACCGAGTGCTGTTATTGCACCAGGCAGTGTTCTAGGAGACTTGCAATTTTTACACTTACGTATTCCTCCCAACAACCTTCTGGGATGCTATTATTATCACACCCATTTTACAGATTAAATTGAGATACAGTTTAGTTAAATAACTTACTCAGGATTACTTGGCCAGAAATGGTGGAGTCCAGGTTTTCATCCAGATACCTGGCTCCAGAGTCATGATTCTAGTTAGTATGCTCTATTGCACTGTGGAGTTTCTGAATCTTATTTGGTCACTTGGTGCCCAAGCTTGCTTTAAAACCCTGTCTAATGAGCTTTAATGTGTGCTTTGTTTGGTGTTTCCCTGTAATGAGGTAAATGCACTAATACATGTGAGATGTTAATTTCAGGTGAATTTTGGGTTAGAAGAGGAGCCTACAGAGATAGTAGCTCAACATCAGTGACTATGGAGTCTGGATCAAATCTAGTCATTGCTTTGGCTTTTTTGGGTTTCATTTTGTTTAAACTTTAGATGCTTGTAAAGTTTGCTTATTGTGGGTTTTTTGTTTTTGTTTTTGCTATGAACCTCATTTAAACCTTTTAGTGACTACCGGAAAAAGCAGGAATACCTCAGAGCTCTCCGGAAGAAGGCTCTTGAAAAAAATCCAGATGAATTCTACTATAAAATGACTCGGGTTAAACTCCAGGTGGGTGCCTTATGGATCAGTTGGTATTCTGAGCTCCACCTCCTTAAAGAAAATAAGGATGGGGGAAGAGATGGAGAGGAAGGATCCTTGGCCTTTATTTAGCCCTTCTCCAGTTGGTCCAGGTATTCTTGGTCAGTATCCAAGGCAAAATGCCCCTTCCTGAACAGCATGCATTTCTGCTCTGGAATCTGAGTTGTCTTATGCCTGGAGCTGTTCTTAGAGTGGATGAGAATTGATGACAGGGTGCTAAATTGAACATGCATCTCAGGGGCTTAGTGCATTGGACCGCTGTGGCATATGGCATTCAGTTGTCTTTGTTCCAATCATGGGCTATGTTAACGACTTATTCGTGATTTTAATCTAATAGGGAATGTATGTTTTAAATTTGGTTTTTAGGATGGAGTTCACGTTATTAAGGAGACTAAGGAAGAAGTAACTCCAGAACAACTGAAACTGATGAGAACCCAGGATGTCAAATACATAGAAATGAAAAGGGTTGCAGAAGCTAAGGTAATATTTGGAACCCCTTGTTCTGTTGTGTTTTTGTTATTTAAGAAAAATACAAATTCACTGGTCTCAAGTTATAAGTTGATTTCTTCTGGCATTTACAGACTTAAAGTACTTCTTGTTGGTGATAATGATTTAGAAGTATAGTCAGTATGATGGAGTGGAAAGAGTTCAAGTTTGGAAATGAGACTCACTTAGGTTTGAATTCTGGCTCTGCCATTTATTAGCCCCATGATTATGGACAAATTAACCTTTTTGAGAGATTGGTTCCTCATTTCTAGCTCATGGGAATGTTGAGTTTTGTGGAATGTGTAGCCCAGTACCTGATGTGTGGTTGGTGCTTGGTAAATTTTAGTCGTCTTTTCCTTTAAAAGAATGAGGCACATTTTTTGGTGGCTCGTGATAAGGGTGTGAAATGGTTTAAACTTGTGCACATTCATTTCTGATACCCTGGACGAACCCAGTGTAAAATGAGATCATGTTCTGTATTCTAGAAAATTGAAAGACTAAAATCAGAGCTCCATCTGCTGGATATCCAGGGGAAGCAGCAGAATAAGCATGTATTTTTTTTTGACACCAAAAAGGAAGGTATGAAATGTTTGCGGGTTTCTGGGACAGTCTAGCATGTTGGTCTGTGTTTGGTGTTAGATAGTGCCTTAAGAATTGTCTTGACTTTCAGTTGAGCAGTTTGATGTTGCCACTCACCTGCGAACAGCCCCGGAACTAGTTGACAGAGTCTTTAACAGACCCACAATAGAGACTTTGCAGAAGGAGAAAGTGAAGGGGGTTACCCAGCCGACTCGACTGAAGGTAATTTCCTCCGTTGTTTTTCTTTTGGGTCTGAGTTTAGGAGAATCTAGGGTTGGTTGGTTTGTTTGGGGTTTTTTTTTTCCCCCCACTGCATTTACTACAATAATTTGAGGAAAACTCATGAAATTCCCTTAGAAAAGTGGAAGGAAGATTTGATGATGGGGATGGGAGTGGAGGAGGGGTTTTTTTTTGTTGTTGTTCCTTGGTTTTTAAGGTTGGGGGACTTGTGGCCTAGTGGTGGGCAGCTTAGGGTGTGGCTTTTAGATTTGCATTTGAATCCCCCCTCTCACTCTGGGCTTTGTGCTTTTAAGGCTTGTGACTGATGCAGAGAGAGGAGGGGATACTGAAGATTAAGGGATTTGGTATATTCTGATATTGAATCTTTAGCAGCAAATACATATCTCAGAAAGTCTTTACATATTCATCTTTTTTAAAGATTTTATTTATTTGACAGCGACAAAGCGAGAGAGGGAACACAGGCAGGGAGAGTGGGAGAGGAAGAAGCAGACTTCCTGCTGAGCAGGGAGCCTGATGCAGGCCTTGATCCCAGACCCCAGGATCATGACCTGAGCCGAAGGCAGACGCTTAATGACTGAGCCACCCACGCGCCCCCATATTATGCATTTGTAACCAAAATCTTGTATTGACTTCTCCTTATGGTGCTTTCCGTAGCTGGAACTGGGTTTGTGCAGAAGACATGCTTTTTCTCAAAGCCTTCTGGAGTTGAACTCTCACTTCTGACTGATTCATTTAAAAAAATGCTGTCAATGTGTTTCAAGCAGACAGCTGTTCTGTTTTGATTTGAATCATTTACACCGCATCAGCTTTGCTTCCAATGTTTAATTTCACAGTAGTTTCTCTAGCTCAGAGGCAGCTAAACTTGCTGTAGTAATATAAATACCCCTAATTAGTTTGACTATATTGGGTAATCCCATAAATTTGACAGTCTGTGTAATAAAGTGAAAACAAAAGCTGTGTGAAACCACTGCTGTGAGACTATGCTAGAATTGGTGAATTGTTTAAATCTGAAGCCCAGTAAGAGTCCCCTCTTGTAGATAACACTTCCAGCTGAGGAGCCGGCTGACTAGTGTTCTCGTAATAACCCTGTTTGTCAATTAGTTGTATTTTTAATTAGCTGTGTCACTGACACTTCTCAAGTGTTGTGGTAGTCCCTGAAGAGATTAGTGCTCCAAACAGAGTAGTTCACCACCATGCCTTTTGAGAAGTTGGGAAGGTTTGGATCTTGCCATTTTTGTCGAGTGGTATTGTTTCTTTCAGTTGTTTTTTTGAGATCAAAAATATTTTCATTAAGACTACTGGTGGGTGGATTGCAAGGGAATTTTTAACCTGTAACTTGGAGGGGTGGGCAGTCCGTGGATGGGCTTTAGGAAGTTTGTGAACGCTCTCTTTCCACACTGACATTTTGTGCAAATAAGTATTTATGTTTGCACAGATTTGTACCAACACACAAACATATTTATTTTAAGAAAGAATCCAAAGCTTTCATGAGTTTCTCAGGGGTTTATGATTCCCCCAAATTTAAGGACCACTGGCCTTTGAGGGGTATTTAGCAGGGAGTATTCTCAGGTCAACTTCTACCGAAAAAGTCCTTCTCTCTGAGTTCTGTGGTTCTCAGACACCAGCACACGGCCCAGTGGCCCTTCTGTCCTTTGTTCACATTGTGTCAGGTTTCCAGGACTGGTTCATTCCTGCATTGCCTTAGGTAACCGGGACGCTCACACAGAGGTTGAACAGCTTAGTGTAGTAGTGGAAAGATTCCTGGGATCCGTGAGACTCGCGGGACAGTCCTGACTCTGTTCCAGGTGAACCACGTGTCCCTGGGCAAGTCTCCAAGGTTCTGTTTAGCTCTAGAATGTGGTGTTCCTAAAATGGACAACTTTATAGTCCCTTGTGTTGATTCTGAGTAAGAAGGGAGTTGATGAAACCATTTATGCGTTTAGACTTAAGTGTACTAAAAAGCAGTTTTTTATTCATTTTTATCTTGTTAATTTTATTGAAAATGTGTGTTTCTTCCGCAGAGGATAGCTAAAGAAAGGCAAAAGCAGTATAACTGCCTGACACAGCGGATTGAACGTGAGAAGAAATTGTTTGTTATTGCACAGAAAATTCAAACACGCAAAGATCTTCTGGTGAGGAGAGAAAGCCTTAGGACCTTCCTTTTTGGTTTTTTTTTTCCCCCCTTCCCCCTTGTAAAGGTCTTAACTGGAACTGGATTTCAGCTGTGTGTAAATCAACCCTAGTGAAAATGTCTGCTCCTCAGGGGCAGTGGTTTGAGCCAGTGTCTATTGCTCTGACAGTGTTGAAATGTTCCTTGATTAAGAAGGGTAATAAGGGGCTTATTAGTGCTTTGGACCGGCAAAGGGTAGGATCGGGTAGCATATGAACTATATAGCTTATGAGCAGCTGTGTGTAACATTTAAACAGGTTAACAAAACAGTGTATTGGTGTTTAAAAATAGACAACATTGTGTAGTTAAATAGCACAGCTAGGGATTATACGATGCCCCGTTCATATTCTCATCGTTCCTTTAAATGTCAGATTCTTCAGCTTTGCAGATCATTCAGATCTGCCTTTCTCAACGAGGGTTCCGTGTGAAAATATGCCCTACAAAAAAATGATTTGAGTACCTCTCTTCTCAGTTTTTCCAAGATCTTCTACACACTAGTAGCATTCTAGATTCCCAGGAGAGAAAACGATGCATTGCATCTGGGGATACTTTAGGGTCATGGGCCTCATCTCTCCTGCACTTTGAGAAGGGCTAAATTAGGGCCTTTCTGATAGGTAGTTTATTAACCTTCCTGTTTTACAAAATGCTCTCCTGCTATTTACTGGTAACCTTTTTACTCTGTTGTAGGATAAAACTCAGAAGGTGAAGGTGAAGAAACAAACAGTGAACTCTCCAGCTATTTACAAATTCCAGAGTCGTCGAAAACGTTGAAGTGGTGTAGATAAGCTTTGTCATTCCACATGGAAAATAATTGTTTTTTTTCCCCAGTAACTTCACATTCCATTAGTCTGAACGACATGGTTTTTTTCTGTTTGTAACTTTAATTTATTATAGATCTGGCATTTGATATCTTTCTGTGAACAACATTAAAGCCCCTTCCCTTGTCTTACTGTTTCTGGGGTATGAAATCAGTCTTATTTTTATATACCTGTATATTTTCTTCACGATGAAAGTTATATAATCTCATTATGGCAAATTTGGAATGAATTCATCTCTAATCCCAATACTCACTGAAGAACACCAAGTAGTTATCAGTGCTAGGAGCTAGTGCCTTGGAGGTGAACAATAATGTGAACGTTCTGGCTTATTTCCTTCATTCTGTAAAGGCATGTTCTGTTTTTTTTTTTTTTTTGCTTTATTTTTGTGTTTTGTAGTTTCAATTATAGCAAACAATTTCATATCCTTTTTACTTACATTAGCCCTTCCATTTTGTTACATCACTCTAAATTTTTTAAAAGTAATATATGTTCACAGTAAAAAGTAAAATAAATATTTTTATTGTTTGCATGTTTTATGTAGTGGGTAGACTGATTTTACCCTCCTTCCTTCTGTGTTTATTAGATACTCAGATGGCTTCATAAATTAGCGAAGGAGGAATTCTTTTCTCTTACACTTTATAGGTACAGATAGAAACCCACCCACAGTGGCACCTCCTTATTGATGAAGCTCAAATCAGACAGATCTGGCCCTCTGTTCCTGCCCTCTGCACTTCTGGCCAACTCATTCCAAGGCTATAAATGGCTTGGTACAGGCCTTTGCCCTGGAGATAGGGACTCCAGGGCATGTGTAGCAGCTTTCTTCCAGAGTCTCACCCTTCCCTGCCCATGTAGGGGTGGTAGGCTGAGGCTGTCAAGACAGGACTGAGCATGCTTAGAGCAAATGTGGGAGGAACAGGGTTCTGGGAGGCTTGCTTACACCTCACCCTCTGGAGGGGGAGCAGCTGGGCCCGGATTTTAAAGAGGGAGGGAGGAAGGAAGGAAGAAAGAAAAATCGTCATTAAAACTTAATATGTTCCTATGACTGCTAGGGTCCTGTACAAAGCCTAAAATGAAAGCCTGTTTCCTCAAGGTGTACCCAGCGGGATTTAGATCTGGGAGCCCTGGAAAATAGGAAGAAGGGCTGGGGAATAGAAGCTAGCAGCTTTTGCCTTAAGGAAGGAAGTGCTTCCCAGTCTGTGTGTTTACTTCTTGGGGAAGTGGGGTGAGCTAAGTACATGTTGATGGTCTTATGACATGGGGGTCTGGGGGGCTGAGTCCTGAGCCAGGGAAGGGATTTATCCCATGGGTGTTGGACAGAGGGGTGGGCGGACTGAGCAGCAGTCTGTTCCTGGCACGGAACAGCTTGATACTGCTGCTCTGACTCTGTTCCTTGTCCCTACTGGGTAGGAGGTAAGGAGTATACCTAATGCCTTTTTTGGAAGCTTGTATTTACACAAAGGTACATACACTTGATCGGGTCTCACATTAATAGACATACAAGATACGTAGAGCTCAGGCCTCATAAACACAGGTGCATGCTCGTCTGTTTGCTCTCTGGTACATGAACACACCACCGGGCTTTCACGTCCACAGGTGACACGAATCCCTCACATGTTCTATAGGTACACAGTGATGCTTGAAGAGGCATGTGCACAGGCCAAATGGAGCAGGAAGTCCATCTTTTGGAGTCCCGTAAGTGCCAGGGTGGAAGTAGAGAGCTTTAAGGGGATAAAACTAGCTGTCCTGAGTTGCTGTTACACTGAGGGCCGTCTCTGAGGCCCAAGGAGAGATTGGCTGCCCCTTGAGATTAACCCAAGATAGGTGCTCCAGCCTCATGGGTCCTAAAAGCAGGCCAGGACTTTATGCTTTGGTGCTCAGTGGGACCTCAAGACTCCTGGCTCATTGCTTGGGAAGGGGAGAGACTCTTGTTTCCTTAGGATCCACCCCTCCAGGCCCAACGGCTGGTTTGGGCTCTTGGTAGCAACCTGCTCTGGCTGGGCGAAGGGAAATGAATGTGGGCAGCCTACGGAGGTGGAAAACGTTTCTCTGAGTCAGAACTTGTGTGTTTCAGGTCTCTTGTACAAATGAGGTCTCCAAAGTATCAGTTATAATAGCTGATGTGGAGCACCCAGGTCTTCCCAGCAGAGAACCCAACTATCCTGCCTGAGTCCTACTCTGTTGCCACTTCTTAGAGCCCTTTTGACTCAAGCTGGAGAGTGTCAAGCCCCAGCTTCATTCTTGGATTCAATTTTTTTTTTTTGACTCTGGAGGGAACGGATTCCTGGCGACAGGGTAGGAAAAGGCCCAGTAGGTGGAGCTGCTGCCCCTTTGCTGGGGTTATCTCTCTGGGTGTCAGTGTCTACCCTCTTAGCACTCTTGGCTTCTGTTGGAAGCATCCTGTGCTGCATTGGTGTTTACTGCCTATTTATTTACTGGATTTAATGCCATAGGGGGAGAGCTCTTGGGAAAAAAGATTTTCTCCACACCTGCTCCCCCACTTTGAGATTAGTGTGACCCCACGAAAAGGACTGGGCAGGAAGGGGCTTCCCCCTCACATTTCTAGTGAGGCCCATGGAGGAAGCTTGTCACCGAGTCTCACATGGAGGTTGGCTCCACCGGGAAATGGTAGGGGTCTCCCCACATGCAGTTGTGAGGGTTTGTGTCTAGCTCACTGTCTCTCCCCTGCTGCTGGCTGTGGGGCAGTGAACAATTAGAGCTGCACGTCCTCTAGCAGGGAAGGCAGCCAGTAGACGCAGACTTGCTCTGCCTGCCTGTGGAGGCCGGTGAGGCCAGGGCCTGTTGGGACTTGAACTGGTGAGGCAAGTGGGTGTGCGGTGCTGGCCTCTTTCCTCAAGCTCTCCCAGCGCGTCGGTTCACAGCCTCGTGCACAGGGTGTTGGGCAAGCGGGGGCGGGGGGCGCCGAAGCTTAGGTGGGAGTCTTGGCCCGAAGTCCCAGGTGAGTTGAAGAATTGGGGGTGGACCTGGAGTACTGTCGGGGCTGAGCTGGCAGGTTTCTTGGGCTTGGGCGGCTGCCTCCTGGGGTGAGAGGGTGCGCACGCTCTTGCTGAGCCGGTCACCGGGCCTCCCTGTTGGCGGGGCTCCCACCCAGCTCCGTGGGTCTGTCTCATCAGAAGGTGCAGGGAAGAATTGGAGAGAAGCTTCAAAGCCCCAAGAGGCAGAGCTGGCTTTCCCAAGTCCATCCCTTAGAGTGTAGAAGCTCAAGAGGCTGCCCGGGTCATGTTTCTGCTTGTTCTTTCCCAAACTGCTCTGGTCGGAGAGGAAAAAAAAAAAAAATCTCTCCAGCTTCTTCAGACTCCCTATATGGAATCTCCATGTTCCTCATTCCTGGGCCCACCATCGTTACATTTGGAGAGTTCTGTCTCCTTTGTATCTCTCGTAACCAAAGTTTACCTAGTTGTCTCTGTCCAGTCTTGTCTGCTTCACTTGATAGCCCTGATAATGACGAGAGCCGTTTCCTCTCTCATGTCAGAGGAACAAAGTGCTTGGTGCTGGGGCCGTGGTAACATCCTGAGCACCCTGCTTTAGTGGTAGTAGACGTTGGGCCAGAACAGAGCCCAGGACCTGGCTATTTCTAGGCAAGAGGAGTTGATCTGGGGACTGCTGTGTTTGGGGTTAAGGGTGGGAAGGAAGCCCTTTCCATTCCTCCTGTTGTGTGTCACCTGACGGCCATACTCAGATCATAAGTGTTAATGAAATTGTGGTGCCCCGGAGGCAGCTGGGCAGCCCCCCCCCGAATCAGCCTGACTCATTTACAGCTTTCTCCCAGTTACCCCAAAGGCTTCTTTTGAGGTGACAAATGTGGGGGGTTGGTTTCAGGTTTCATGTTTTTACATTACTGAGTGGAAAGAAAACCTTTCCAAACCAAAAAAAAAAAAAAAAAAACCAAAATATAAAAAAAAAACAACATTTCCCCAGAACAAAGAAAATTTCCCCGTCCTCTCTCCTCAGCTGCTCTGCCACAGACACCAGTGACGGAGGGGTTAAGAGGTGGGGGTTGGAGCTAGGGCGAGTAGAGTGTTGGGGACAGCCCCTTTGGAGGTGGCAGCATTTGCTTTCCTGCTTAAAGGCAGGGGAGAGCCTTTGCAGAGCCCTCTGGCTCTGGAGCCAATAGTATTGCCAAGGGACGGGGCCGGTCAGCTCAGGAGCGGCAGGGGCTGGGGAAGGAAGCCATCTCACATCTCTAGCTAATTTGATCCCAGGAGGTCGAGGGCAAGTCCTTCCCTCAGAGAGGGCTCTTTAGGTGGAATGGTAGGTGGGAAGCTGCAGGATCCATCTGGCACATGGAGACTGGGGGGCCACCCCCTCCTGTTACTGGCTGGTAGCATTATAAACCGCTCCCCGCCTGCCCCCCGACGGGCAGATGGCCTCCACGGCAGATGGAGACTAGGCCAGCGATGGCTGGGTGAGCTTTCCAGTCCCAGCCTGGCCTCTCTGGCTAATCAGACAATTGAGAGGGGCAGCGACAGGGCTAAGTGTGTGTGTGTGTGTGTGTGTGTGTGTGTAAGAGATGGAGTCCTGGCCTTGTTGGGCCATTCTGGGGGAGAGGTAAAGCGGGAACCTCAGATGCAATCAGTGGATCTTGGGGGCACACCCAGTTTCCCATGTAGAAGTGGCAGGTCCTCGGGGCCCTGACACTGCCCACCTGCCCAGGCTCCCAAAGCTGCCTCAGTTAGTTCTCAAGTGAAGGGGATGGTCCCCGGGGTGGGAGTGTCTGCTGCAGCTGGAGCCTGGTGGGCTTGATGCAGACCCCCTGCTAGGACCCCAGAGCTGGGCCTGGCCAGCGGCTCCTCCCAGAGGACGTGCCCGTTTATTATGCGCTCGGGCTCCCTCACTGTGCAGGCAGGCAGCGGCCTTCATTAGCGGAGGAGCTGGGGTCTGTTTTGGCTGCCTCATCAGCATCAGTGAACTGCGTCCCTGCGAGATTTGATACAATTTAATTAACCTAATTAAAAGCTCTGATTGCAGAGATGATTGGGGTAGCGCCAGCAGCGACTGCATATTTATAATGAGCTGCAAGGTGTGGGACCGCAGCCAAACGCCACGCATCCTAATGAGCGGGAGCTGAGAGCCAGGGAGCGGGAGAGGGAACGTTTATTTTTGGCAACAATGCCCAGT